TTGAACCTGATATAATGATAGATGTCAAGTCATTGAACTTTGGCACACTCACCGAGTTAACGTCGACTTGTTCCTTGTTGTTGCATAGGAAGAGTTTACGAGGCTCTTCGATAGTGAAGTCGGATCGATGCTTGCAATTGCCGATTTGAATGATGCGAATTTTTCAGTTTTACTTATTTCAGTATAGATTGAAGGTTAAGAAGGACATATAGAGTACTTGGAAAGCGGTACATTATTGCTAGCGTATTTTTTTTAAAAATCCTGCTTTCGTCTGTTTCTTTCGTTTGATTCGTTATTTTTTAATTTTTTCGGAGTTTGAAATTAATCTGTAATTTATAAAGCTCAGAAACATAAAGGCGCTATATTTCAATTTGCATTTAAATATAACTTTTTATACTCGAGCATTACTTCAGCGAGAGAGCCAAATTGAGCATTACATAGATGAAGCATAAAGTAGAAACTTAATAATACTTGATATAACTTGTATCATCTGAAATATTAAATATTTAGGGAATAGGCGCCTCCTTGTATTGTAAATACCTCTCACCTCTAAATTATAATATTGCATACTTTTATCCTGCGATACTGCTTAGTACAAATAAAATCGACGACTTCAATTTTAAAATAAAAGTGAATAATTAACCAAAGGCGTTGTCAGCGTGTTTTAAGTCGAGGTTATTGAACTGTGTGCTTAACCTGAAAATATAATGTTTACACCGTGATGAGCTATCATCGTACTTAATGTATGTCAGGGGTTAACAACTCGATGGACTGTTTACATGTCAAATTCACTTTTGGTTGATGTCAATGTCAAAATATACATATTACCTTATTATAAATCCCTTTTAAGCATTGCTTATGACATTTGTAAAATAGCACAGTTATTTATCAGTATTCGTTGCGGATTGAAAAATGAAGTTTAAAAATAATAAGTACCATTATTTTAATATATTTAAATATTTTATCTAAAAACTTTGAAAACTTGTAAAATTTATTGGTGTGTTAATATATTTTTTAACACAGTGTGTTTTATTATAAAAACGTAGATGAAAGACAAAAATAAAAGGTTATCAAAACTTGTGATCAAACACACTCATTTTTGAACATTGAACTTTGTTGTACTTTGACACCGAAACGATTTGCCTCGAAATTAATTGTCTTTTAATTTTAAAAGACTACAAAGTTCAGGCATGAACTTAATGAATTCTAATTAATTAATTACACTTTTCGCTTAAATATGCACTCTTGTACCCAATAGTTCCGATTTTTTTTAAGATGTAGCTCTATTTAAGACTGAGCTTAGATGAAACACTTGAAGAGGATAGAGAATTATGTGTAAAGAGCGACTATTAGGGTTTCTTAACTCAAATGGTAAAATCGGGACCCCTAGATCCCTTATTCTTATTTATAGCTTATTTAGACGTTTTTTCTTGATACGAAACTAATTTAAACACAATCATTTTCAGAGTATACGTCTACTTTCAATTAATATTATAAAGAGGAGAGATTTAATTGTTTGTTTGTTTGCTTGCGATCGAATATGCTTTAAAACTTTCACGTAGCAACAGTATATGGGGTTGACATAGGCTGTAATTTACGAGCTTTAAAAATAGCTAGTACTTATATACAATATGTATGCTACTCTTTCACCCAAGAACTACCGACTGGAATTTCGTACTCGGAGAATTTGGCCTGTCTATATTTTCACGTCGTAGGCAGAGAGAACCAAACACTACAAAGTAGTATTCAGCCTGTTGCAATATATAGGCCGAATGTATTCGAAAAACGGTACCCTAGGGATATAAAAACTGCCAAGAGAACGTGACGCGGACGAAGCCGCTGGCATAAAGCGAGTAAAATTTCTAAAGTCTTACTGGAAAATATTAATTACAAGCTTTGATCAACAATACCACTAGATAACGCTTCTCATACTAAAACAATACTCAAATACGGCACCAAACCATAGGCCATACACTGCAACAACCCGTGATAATACTCTAACAAGCCGTAAATATGATATTCCAATAGATATTTTTTTTATTCCGATAGTTATATTTGCAGTTTTTATACGCACTGTAACATCGTAATATGACCGAATGTTGGCGTCTCGTCGCAAACAAACTAAATCAAAATAAGACCGCACATTGAAGTGAGGCATTATGTCTTCGGACATTTTTGAGACAGACCGGACATCTAGTTGTATTGTTGATCGAAGATTACAAGCTTTTATTAAACTTGCCTTGTTAGTATGTTAATGCGCAAATCTTGGAACTCAAATTTGACCCACTTTCCGATGTCAGATAAATTTCAAATTTTGTTTAGACATATACCTAAGTCAGATTATTATATATTTTTATTAATTTTGCATTCACAATATCATATTGAAAATTATTCTTAATACAAAATGCTTAAAAAATCCATATCAAGTCATCCGGATTGCGAATCGTGGGTTCGTTTCCCATCTCATGCTGCCAGAGACCAAGTGAATTTTTTAAGCATTTTGTATTAAGAATAATATAAGTCAGATGACAATGCAATATTATGGTGTCAGTAAGCTGATATGATGCTGAAATTGGAAGATGGTCATAGGCACTTAGTGATAAAATGAGGCAACTGCATCGTAATTGGGCTCTTTAGATCCGTCTTTATGAGAACAACAACATATATAAAATTAACAGGAAAAACACCTTGCAATACAGATGCTATGTAAGAAGTGAATACAATGAAACAAAACTAAAAAAAATTAATATAATAAAAAGTTTCTTTTAAAAACAAGCTTTTATTTGTGCGCACTAAAACGTAAATAATAATTCTATGAAATACAAGTACAAAAATTTAATGTTAAAGTATTTATAATCTATAAATTTCCTCTTGCAGTTTGTAGCGCTAATGAAATCGGAGACGAGGAAATACACATATTTTATAAGTAATTTAACAATAACGTTATGAACTTGTCTTGCATAGGATTATTATTTACGTTTTAATGCGCACAAACACAAGCTTGAGTAGCTCGGTGGCGTAGTGGATAAGCGCCGCGGCCCGCGATCGTAGTCGTTAAGCAACTTTCGCTAGGGTCGGTCACGGGATGGGTGACCAAAAAATTATTATCTCGAGCTATTCCGTGCTTCGGAAGGCACGTTAAGCCGTTGGTCCCGGCTGCATTTGCAGTCGTTAATACCCTCCAATCCGCATTGGGCCAGCGTGGAGGGTCATGGCCCATCCTCCTTAACCATCCATAAGGAAGGCCTGAGCCCCTGCAGTGGGGACGTAGAAAGGCTGGTGGTGGTGGTGGTGGTGGCGCACAAACAAAAGCTTTTTCAATGCAGTTGCTCATAAAGCGCAATTTTTTTAATCTATTGTAAACACCGAAAGTGAGGCTTTAAACACGTGTTAAATAAAAATGTACTGAAATCCTTTACTGCACATGTGCTTAAAAGTATTTTTTTAATTTTTTTGGCCGAGCACCAAAGAAATTTAAAAAAATTTATTAAAATATGTCAAACTTTAGAGGCAAAAGTATTTCAAGGAGCCTAGAACGAATATTTTCAAATAAAAATGTATGACACGAAAACATGTTCAAATATCACGTTTAATTTTGACAAATAATTTTTTCCTTTAATACATACTTAGATTATTAACCTATATATTTGTTTTATTTCCTCGAAAAAAGCATTGAAAAATGTTGTAAGGAACTTGAGCGTAAAAAGTTTTTCGAATTCGTGCCAATAAAAACCCTCGCTATGCTCGTGTTCTCAATATTTGGACCTTATTCGTAAAACCTTACTTTCCGCACTCGTATCTTAAATAACTACTTTTGAAAAACTTTTCTTTATTCCATTTTTTTAATATTTATTAACCTCGTACCTGTGAAGTTGAGGTAATGTACATGCAATGAAATAATGGCCACGTCTTCCCAAAAAATATTGTTATTATTGTTTTTTTTTGTGTTAATTATTCAAGTAGAAAAAGTATCGGTATTTATTATTATCTATGGTTTAATTTGCATCTTTCAGTGCTATTTTGTTATATAAACAGCATCGAACTCTATGTTGAGCGCAGCGCTGTGATAATTTAATCAAGTAAAATCTACTTCGGAAGGTCATGAAGGCTTTAATTTAATGAAGGAGTATTTTAAGAAAAAAAAGTACTATAAAAGCACCTCACTAGATGGTGACTCTAGAACAGGTTGTTTTTTGCAGGAAACGAATGGACCAAAGATTGTCATTTCCGTTCTTTTTAACTAACAAAAAAAAAATTGCCAAGTTCGAAACTTAGATATCAATAGAAATACGCAAAAGTACAAATAAAATATGAGTTGTTTATTGAGTTTTGAAAATTAATTTACTTTTATGTATGAAAGAGTTGTCATGGAGAAACCAATAATGTACCGTAGTTTGATATCTGGCACCAATTTTTTTTTTAATACTTACTTCATAAATTAAAGCTCTTTGATACAATAGAACAGCACTCAATGTCGAAATCGATGCTGAGTTATGTAGCCATGTTTTAGCAGTATAGCATAAACATCAGCGATAACGAAAAAAGTTAAACTGACCGATATATGAACCCCAAATAGAGAAAAGTGGGTTCATGATTTGATTTATGACTTCTATCCAAACTGGAACAGTCAAGGGCTTTGTTAGAAACAAAAAACTTTAATAATCCTCTCATAATTTCACATAACCTTTATTTTGTTAACAATAAGGTCCTACTTTTTCGGAATTAGCGTCACTAAATTTAGTAGTGTTTCACGCATACGATCTTGCGTTCTGCGGTCACTGGTTTCCGCAAGCAGGTGACCATGGCAACCGCACCAAAACAAAATTGTCAAATAGCACACAAGTAATTTTCCGACCCGGCCTAAACAAAAGTAATGACATACTTCCTATATATATATAGCTAAGAAATGACCCGTGAACTACAGTGACCTCGATTTGAATGCTCCATAGAAATAGTACTTGATGTTCTTAGTAAAAATTAGAAGACTACTGGGATCGAAGATGGATTTTGGATTTGGTGATTCTTTGTACCCAAATGTGGGAGGGTTGACGCAATTTTTCAGACAGGATCCGTTTTTTGGGTATGTGGTATTTGAAACATCGTTAAAAAAAATTATACGCAGATGACAGTGTAGCTTTTAGTAGTAAATGGATATAATGCTCTAACTTAAATAACTATGAGGAAATCCGTAGTGGAAGTCTGTATATGAATGAAATATGGGGTCATTATTGAACCATATTATTATGATAAATAATTAATATATAAACATTTATCTACCCATTCAAACACATAAATATCTTAACCTTAATTAGTTAGACACTATATATTTAGTAGGAGACATTGAAGGATAGATCTTAAGTTATGGAATCAACCCTGTGGCCGTGTGATTCGCACGCGGGTTTAAAACTTCGCCATTTCTGGGGTCCCGGGTTCGATTTGTGGTCCCTCAAACGTCAGAGACATTTTCGCGGGTCTGGATGTTGTGATAACTCCATTGATTCAGATTATCTATAATACATAGATTATCTGAATCAATATACCTACCCTACAATCCGCATTGGGTCAGCGTGGACGGTCATGGCCCATGCTCCTTAACCATCCATAAGGAAGGCCTGAGCCCCTGCAGTGGAGACGAAATAAAGGGCTGATGATGATGATAATACATAGAGTTTTAGTTACTTAATTTGAGGTCCAAGCAATGGAGTAATCAATGTATGTGACTTTGTTTAATATAAGTATAATTATTTATGTTAAAGAGGTAACATTTATAATAATCCTGAAAGTGTTTTTTTATTTCCAGTGTAAAAATAGAAAATCTGTTTTTAAATATACCCGCTCTGTGATTTTTCGCGATCGCAGTTCAAATTAGTATACCTACTTAAGTATTTTTTATTGATAATTTTATTGATATAGACGTTACTTAATTTTTTTTTAAGTTCGCATATAATCTTTCTCGTGAAAATCATTTGGCTAAGAACTTGACGGTCAGTTGCACAAACGTCCATTATGGTTTAATAACCACATAAAGCTCTAATAAATGTCAAATTTGTATGGGTAATGTTGCTTTAAATTAATGAAACATTTAATGGACGTTTGTGCAACTGGCTGATGTATCTAATCTTATATGAATATATTAAGTGAATCATGATGTTACCGTTTCATTATGTTCCACATGCTAACGTAGTTCTATAATCTTATTACACTAATGGAATTGTTAATTTTAGTCTGTTAAATTAATTACGTTACAATACTATTTTTATGTATATTTTATGAATATACATAAAAATGGATGTTGTCCATCTTCTTCTTTTCCAAAATAAAAAAATAAAACTATTTTTGTATTGCCTTTCTTTAAAATACACTATAATTTTCAGTCCATCTGCTGGTTTCCACACCATGGCAAGAATGATGGATCGCATGATGACAGAAAGTTTGCAACCGTTCGGCTTTGCGCGGATGACAACGCGGCGGTCTGGTTCAGATAACAAAGAACCACCCAGGGATGGGCTGAGGACGGAGAGAAGTGAAGCAAGGAGAGAAAGGGCTAAGAATCCCTCTGATACACACGCATCTAACGGCACTCGGCACCCCCCTACACAAGGTAAAATAGTATAAAAGGTCGTGACGAAAATGTGCAACCTTCGAAACTAAAGCTTGATATTTCAGGATGTGAAAATACTCATACATTACTTAGTATCCAGTGCGGAGCTGAAATGCCTGGTGACGGCGGCGCGAAACAAACTTCTAGCGATTTTACTCGTATCATGAAAAAGACTATGTATATATTTTGGATAAAAACTCAAATACGTCGTACATACATGAAATTCATAAGCGCTTGTACAGTGCTGTCAGTGCCAGATTTTAAGAAATATGACACTAAAATTTACGTTATTACCTTTGTTTTTATGAGAAATCATCTTGATTGTAGATAAACGTTATCAAAATATCATTCAACATTTTTTACTTTAGAAATTATATAAAAATAGCTTTTTCTAATATAAGGTTTTATTTTCAGTCGTGAAACCAACGCAAGCACATACTTTTCAAATGTCACAAGCGGACCAAAACAAACCCTCGGACCCGACAACTGAGAAATGGGCGGGCACCCTTCGTCGTAGAGACCCCGACATCCAACCCACTTTACCTTCCATCGTCACCCGTAAAACTTCTTCGACATCCTCGTCAGTCGGTAGTGGTAGAAAATGTCGATCTGTCGACCGTTTACCTCGACAGAGGGTACGACACCTCGTTCCTATAAAACCCACAATAAGAAAGACCGATGTGCCTACAGAAGGAGATGTCGCTCTTTTAGAAAGAGACGAAAAGGTCTTTGATGCAACGGGATACGAGCTGCACTTAGTGGAGACTTTAGAAAGAGACATTCTGCAGCGAAATCCAGATGTTCGTTGGAAGGATGTCATAGGCTTAGAAGACGCAAAGTCCGTTTTACAAGAGGCTATGGTATTACCACTCGTCATGCCTGATTATTTTAAGGTTCGTAATGCCTGATTTACCATTTAATTAAACTAAACTGGATTAATCTGGGAATGCTGTTATTAAATAAATATGTTTTGTTGTACTGTATAACTATGAAAGCTTAAAACAATATAGGCATAGAACAAAACCTGTTTAGATTTTGTTCTATGTGTTGTTAAAGCTTTCACGTACCATTTATGCTTATTTTTTTCTTCATGATTAATTGTTGTAAGCAAACTATTCAGTACTATCCTTAGCTAGGTGTTGGTATCAGCCTAAAAATCTCAAACCCAAATTATTGCCATAAAGTACCACTAGCCTAATTTAAATTAGTGTTTCGCGTGTGCGATATTATCATTGAGTCAAGGCGTTCGTATTTACTCGTGGCATAGTACGCTTGTCGTTGGGAGATTTGTTTATCAACAGAAATTGCACTTAATAGTACCCTAAGTAAAGGGCTAGCAAAGCAAAAATGAGGTTAATAGTAGTGGTATATGTATGAATAGAAGTGAGTTTTATTTAATAAAATCGATTAGTTAGAAAACGAAATTAAATGAAACGTGAAAGTTTGAATTAATACGTCAAATAATGGACAATTAAACTTAATAATAGTTAAATGATAAAAATACTGATAGAAAGCTGAAAGTCTGGTCCTTGAGTCTGGTCCTCTGGTCCATAGTTTATATCAAAATATCGATTTTTTTTCACCATCTCTGTCGCTTTGTTATTATTCTAGAAGTTCTACTGTTACTGTACACAATTTTCTTTTCTCTGTTATAACTGTTTGTTTTTTTTTATTCCAGGGCATTCGGAGACCATGGAAAGGCGTTTTACTAACAGGACCGCCTGGTACTGGCAAGACATTGCTGGCGAGAGCAGTGGCCACCGAGTGTAAGACGACATTTTTCAACGTCTCTTCTGCGACACTCACTTCTAAGTACCGGGGCGACTCGGAGAAGCTTGTCAGGCTCCTGTTCGATATGGTAATCAATCTTCATTTCTTCTTTTATTAATATGTTTAAGTTTTCATTGAGTGTTATGCGTTTTTTATACTATAATAGTTATTATTGCAATTTCTACTATAATTGCCGTGTATAACTGTTTGTATCTGCATTCATTAATAATCGACCAACGTTAATCATTCCACACTGAGACCATATGATGGATTCTGGTTCGTTTTGTTAATTCTGTTTTATAGGGCAGTCCTGTACCTCAGCAGTAGTAAGGACAAAAGTAGTTTGATAATGATGACATAAGTGCGATATTTACCATTATTTGATTATTATAGTTTTTATTTAATTTCCCATGAAATTTGCTTACATTTTTGCAAGTTACAGATTGCTATTACCTTAAGTCCTTTAGGACGTTGGGTTTGAGCCAAAATAAATGTACATTTGGGTAAAACATGCTGTCTACCTCTGTAAGTCTGTAATTCATTTTAAATCGTTAGGATAAGACTTGGGCTTCGGTTTTATCGTTATTTTATCCTCCTAGCATAGGGATCAACAAGTGAAGAAAATTAAAAAAGAAGTTTTCTTGATTTTATACATGTGGGACACACTGTTGAAACCATAACACAATCGTAGGAAATATCAACTCATTATATTTTTTATCATAAGCATCATTATTTATAAACAAAAAAGCTTAATTGTCTTAGCGCCAAAACGTTTGAATGCTAGCCCTCGTATATTTATATAAGATTTGTCATCAGATTAAAATTTTTGTTTTAAAGTTCATACACAAATTAAATCTGTTTCAAAAATTCAATGTAAACAAATGTAGGCAATGAGGCCGACAATTGTTATGTAGTTTAATCAAGTCTACTTTAAGTTTTCAGCTGTAAATAGTACATTGCTAACAGATCTATACAGTAATTTACGAGTAAAATATTTGCCTACTTTAGTTTTATGTTTTCATAGAATAATACAACTTAATATTTAATTAATCTAAGTTCAACAGTAGGTGTATCTAGGCTGAAATGATGATACATCATTGTCCGATTTAATCTTGTTTTTTTTTTCATAGCAAAACAGCAACTATGTGAACACACCTTTGTGAGAAACGTAATATCATATGAGAAATGTTATGAATGAGAAATCATAAGAGAAATGTAAATTTTATTTGGCTCAGACTCCGTTTTTGTCCGAAGTTTCAATTTTATAAATAAGTATTTCTCTACTCAGGCGGCATTTTACGCTCCCAGTACGATATTCTTGGATGAAGTGGACTCGTTGTGTGCAATGCGTGGCGCTGACTCTGAACATGAGGCTTCGAGACGATTCAAGGCTGAGCTTCTCATACAAATGGATGGACTATCCGCTGCTTTGTAAGGCTTTAACAATAATAAGAAAAATTCAATTTCAATAAAAAAAGTCAAAGTCAGAGCTCTTGCAAAGTGAAAGTCTAGAGCACTGGTAGACAATTATATTTTGGTTGAATGTTAAGCTTATCCCTCTCAGAATGTGTGTATAACGTATTGGATGTATGAATGATTATAACAACATTAGTTACGTTTTCAGCAATCGAGATAAGATCGTTATGGTATTGGCGGCTACGAATCATCCATGGGATATTGACGAAGCATTCAGGAGAAGATTCGAAAAGAGGATATATATTGGTCTTCCTGATGGTATCGTGAAATTTCATTTACATTCGAAATAATACTGTTTATAATATTAAGCTATTTATCTATTATGTGATAACCAATAAAGTATATTATCACGAATGAAACAAAAGATACTAAAAGAGAAGAAGAATGTTGATATATAAGGTACTGTCACCTAATAACTCTCACTGTTTTCAACCGCTGCAGTGCAAAAAAATAAACTAGCAAATATTTTAATTTCAGTCCCATACTGACAGATCTTAAGGACGGTATAATGAAATTTGAATCTATATCAGCTGGTTTTTAGCGTTTTAGCGGGCGTTATTAGGCGACAGTGACTTACGTAATAAGCACAAATACACAAATACAAAAATATATGTATAAAGACATGAACATATTCGACGAAGAAAATTTCGTTTTCTATGTTCTATTAAAAAAAAAAAAATACAATTGACTTTTGTTATGAGATATTGGAGAAAGCAACGCTTGATAATTTTTTTTTTCTAACGTAGAATCGACCCGAGTAAAGTTACTGAAATTATGTCTGCGTGAAGTGGCGCTAGCAGATGACGTACAGTTACCGGAATTAGCTAACAAGCTGGATGGATACAGTGGCTCTGATATATGCAATCTATGCAGGTAATATCATAATTTAATAAGCAATTTGTCATGGAATTTTGATTAATGTTGATGTGTTTAGTGTCCATTGGTAGATATTGCGGTCTAATAAATATATCTTAGGACACTCTCTGGTGATGAAATCTGATGATATTCGCATAGTTTTATGTTGTATTTGTTACCTAGTATTGTAATAAATAACGATGCTAGTTATAAATTGCGTAATTTTTTTTCGCGTTATGCATATAATGTCTAATTATAATGTGTAAGTGTTTGTTGTCCACGAAAATTATATAAATGAATTTAAAATTAAATACTAGACGAACACTATGATCACATTAAGTTTTTTTACCTGTATTTGTAGCGTGTAATTTTTGGGTATATGGACCAGTACGCGTAGCATGACGAACTCGAGAACGTTTTGTCTACACACAAATGTCACTGTTCTCGAGTGCGCCCATACGATATCTCACTCTCGACCCGAGAAACTGACAAATGAGTGTAGACAAAATGTTTCTCGAGTTTGTCATGCTACGCGTGCAGGTAAACTCTGACAACTTTGCTCGCTTAAAATATGAATTAAATTACGTAATTATGAATGCGATAGATTTGTTAGCAAAGGGCTTACTCTTATATTTATCTACACAAAGAAAGATTCTAAACTAAAAAATGCAACCTTGAAAGTTTAATTCAACCTGATAAAAATCAAAGCCACCCTAATAACTTTCGACTGTTCGGTTACTTGTCATAAAACTTTGATTCTTTTGCTCTAATTACATTTTGTGGATAGGTTAAACTACTTTTTTAAAATTTTGTAAATAATATTAATATCTTAGAAATAACAGCAGTTCTGCGATTAATAATTTCGGAGCTATGTTGGTTGAACACCTACTAGTCAGCCGAAAACTCTCTCTCTACAAATTCAAGCCACGAAGTGACGTCACTAATAATTTCGAAGTTATGTTGGTTGAACACCTACTAGTCAGCCGAAAATCGCTCTCTACAAATTCAAGCCACGAAGTGACGTCACGCCGTGATACAGTAGCGGAAAATGGATGTGTATGCAATCTTTGTAATATTTCAGTTATTTTGCGATCATGTTTATAGTTGTTTTAATGAGAATTTTTACATTTCATGCAAGTAATTTAATGACGTATATATTTAAGCAATTTTTTTGTAATATATTTTCCCTCCTTTTTCAAGATTTCAAAGTGTAATATCTTCAAATTATAACATAACTAAAAAAAATATAAATAATAGAAACTTTTAATTGAGGTCGTAGGAAATATCCAGATTCTAACAACAATGTGAATTCAGAAAATAAAAGTTAAAATAATGGCTTCACTATGCTGAACAGAATTTTGGTGGCAAAACTATGCCATCCGTCAGAGTGAATAATAAAATAATAATAATAATCATGTTTATGGTATATCATAGGAACAAAGCAAATATAAAAATGCGTAACATAGTCAAACAAAGGGGTTTATTTAAAATTTGAAATTATTTAGCTATATTATTTTACAGAGACGCGGCAATGATGACAATGCGGCAGAAGATCGCTGGCAAGAGTCCCGATCAAATTCGCAAGCTGAAGCGGTCCGAATTAGAGGCGCCGGTGTCTAAGGTGGATCTGGAAGCTGCTATGGAGAAGACCAGGCGGACGGTATCACAAGCGGACGTTGCTCGCTACACCACTTGGATGCAACGGCACGGCTGCTCCTAGCGGCGAGCTAAAGCGTTGCGAGCGCTGCTTCGGAAGCTACGTGACGCTTGAAGATCACCTGCGCTTATGTTCAATGAAGCATATAGTGTCTACAACGCGGTTGGATCTTGAATAAACATTTGGTCAGTTGAGTGATTGCCGAGTGTTTTTGACAAAGTGTCTCTAGATTTAAGAACGCATTACGAAATATTTATGTACATTTACTTGATGAACAAATAATGCTTGGTGAATATAGACGATTTATTGAATAATAAACTTTGGTATGTATTAAACGGAAAATTTAAAGTAGATAATACAACTTGGCTGATCTATCTTTTAAAAAAGTTAAACATTTCTTAAATTAAGTGTGGTTTAAGATGAAGGACAAAGGATCCGGTTTACTATGGCTTTTATACATTAGGCTAGGAGAAATTTATATATGGCAATATTAGATGAAATTATGCTCGAGCTCGAGTAACTGTTTACGATTGTAACGATCATTTTGACTTCTCAATAAGGTTTAAATTCGTGTGGGAGAATCAACAGTTTTGTATAGTCTGTCTGTTTATTATAGACTCTATACGAGTCATTACTTACAACGCATCGAGGGCATCGACAGGCATTGGACCAGTAAGAACATCCTACGGTGTAAAATAAAAAAAGAGTTTCGCTTTTTCGTTCTATGAATCTTTTTTTATTATTTGTTTTGTTCTACAAATATTTATTAAGTGAGTTCTGAAGATAAAAGTTGTTCGGTAATTTGAATTATTCTAGATGGAAATATAAATTAAATGCTTTAAAAGTAGCTTTTAGAGTCTACTATATATTCTTTAACTACTCTTAAATTGTTACCAAATGTATAATGATATTATTTTATTTATAATTCAAATTTATATTTATAATCTTTCAAATTAATATTATCAAATCTTGCATTTTTATACAGATTTTATATCAACTTATTATTGTAATGCTTAAGCTAAGGACTGTAATAATTGTAATATGAGGCATTTAATTGAGGTTCCAATGTTTTCATTTATTGGTTCAGTTAATATACTATTCCAAAGTAAGCATAAATATTAAATTTGTATGTTCACAAAATTCGAAATTGGTTTGAAATAAAATGTGCCGAATAAATTAGATATTCACAAGCTATTAATTAGTGATCTGACATTTAATATCATGATTTAGTCTTAGGTGCTTGAAATAAAACTCAAGATTCGGGTAAAACTCGTTTTTATTGAGGAATGGTGTAAAATAATACAAATTAATGTCGTTGAATTTGGTTTTGTTTTTTATATGTCAATATTTTAGTGTAAATGTGCTGTAGACGTAACGTGTACTGTTAAAGTTTCAATAAAGTTCTTAAGGTTTTACTATTATGACTGATTTTTAATTAAATCCTTTAATGTTTGTACGTTATAAAAATTTTAAGAGTGCGTGGGTGATTCTGTTAGATTTCTGTTCTACTATTCATATTAAAACGATAAATTATTATGTTTAAGGTGGACGTCCACTGTGTCCACACGCACGCAATCACAAGCGATGCACATTACGAAACTGATTGTACGGATTTGCCCATACTCCTACATACATCCACTGCATCCGCATATGTGTCCGTTACATGCGTGCGTAAAACGGGCCTTCAATTTCAAACTACAGAGGTGAAACCGACTTTTTCATCCTCTAGATCTAATTAATAAGAAAAGTATTTTCAGCCGATTCACCATGATAGAAATTCAACTTCATACAATTTAATTTCATTAAAGTTAGAGTTGTTGTGTACGATTGCGCCTGGAATTGATTTTGTTTGACGTACGACCTTTTTTCCACAATTTGAAGTTCATAACTATGAAGTTACACCGTAGAATCTTCATATAGAATTGTGTGGTAGAATCTAAGAGTAGACACGAAAACGTTGTGTTTAAATTCTCTTTGGTAGATCTGCTGATCTATTAAATATTAAATGAATAAGAGAGCAATGTGAAAGTTGAACAAAAATCTTATAAAATATAAGCCTCGAATAAAACCTACTTAATGAAGGCCACAAACTTTTGTTTACCAGATTCAGTATCATTATGTAACAAGGCACTAGAATAGTGTAGGTCTACATAATAATATCTAAAACTTGAGTCTATATATGATTGTACAATAATGTAGGATAATATTTTATTAAAGGTAAAGCTTAAGATGGTCTCTCAAAAATCTTAAGTGACTAATCCTTAGCTTTTATCAATACAAAGGCACTATAATATTTTATTTACACTAGGTTTAATTATTAACAATATTCTATCATAACTTACAAATGAACACGATCGATACACATTAAAAAAAAATAACAAATTTCTTAACAATCAAAGGTTCTTAAAATCATTTTAAATAATTAATATAAATTAAATATAATGCATTCTATTATTTCTATAGAATATAACTTATCACGATAATCTCGTTGTAATGAAAAAAATATAATTTTGTTATAATTCTAATCCTAATTGTTTAATATAGATTACGTTATTAAATTGATTTCATTTACATTATGAAGGTTTTGTCACACTTAAAGCTATACAGCAGCTGGTAGGATCGAACAACCGTAAATACTAAAAATATAATGAATCCTGAGCCATATATGGAGTCCAGGAGAGTGCCAATCAGTAGTGGATTATTTTTTAAGCACCTGAGGCAAATGCTTAGGGCTCCAACTTCATAGCTGCTTTGCATACCAACGTTATGAGTACTAGCATACATTAACCATGGTACCTACTTGCGATATTTAATTTTAAGACAGAAATGTTACCTAGTGCGCGGTATATAAAAAGCCAAAGAAAAAGACAATAAATATATCTTCAGAGATACGAAATATCGATTTTTTTTTGTGGTGTGGCCAAATGCGCGAGAGGCACTGGTTGAAACATTTGCATAACCTTTAATGTTAATATTAGCACTAAAAAACGATTGAACGGATTTATAATGCGCAACATTCCAAGATAATCATGTCACATATTTATTATAAACTGTTATTACAGTTTATAATGATTATCTTGGAATAAATATGAAATAAGTATGAATCTGAAACTTAATACGAAACACTTAACGTGATATATGTTTAAATTCTAAGTAAGATTTAAGCCTATATAAGCTATCGCGCTTATTTGTGTTGTATAATAGAATGGGATGGATGGCGGCCTTGTCGCTTAAAAGCGATCTCTTGCAGGCAACCGTATTGAGGAAAAGTGCGCTTCGTTTGGCTTTTGTACTCGGCTTGACAAGTTTAAACGACTTAAATTCCCAAATAGCCAAAGGGGGCCAAAATCAGGTCATCTACCCTACTATTAACCATATAGTCCATTAAGATATTACATGTCTAAAAAAGGGAATACCTCATTTCATTTAATCACGCTAAAAACAATTCTAATGTATTCCAGAACTAGTTACAATTCTTACGTAATTTCTAATAATATAGGTATCTTTTACAGTCAAACTTAATTCACTTTTCAAAGATTAAATACTTATTATATTTTATTTTAACTAGTTTCATTATTGCTAAGACAGATATTGCTAACGAATGTCCTTTGGTTGTTGGCAAAAACTGTAAGATCTATATTAATATACATAGTATGATATAAAGACGCTTCCCGCTGTCTGTACGCTGTATCATTTAGACTATAAAACGGGTTAATGCGGTTTTCAACTATATACAGAGTGATTCAAAAGAAAGGTTTACATGTATAATACAAGTAAGCTTTTTTTATAAATTAATTACTTCAAATCCACAATAATCGATATATTTATTGATTACTCAACTGACAGACGTGACGTGAATACATTACTTTTAAAAGGTTTATCAATTTACTATAAAGATAAAAGGTTCCAGCAGCACAGATTTGCAAACCGATTTTCAAGAGCACTTATTTTATATAAACAGACTTTTAGTATCGTTTAGTTTAGTTGCCATTATATATATTACTTAAAACTATTTTTTTTTTATGTGATTAAAGCCAGTATTATGAAGATCGAGATAAGAATGTTTTGATTAGTATATTATTGAATCACCGAGGTGATGGCAGTTTAACGTGGTATATCTGGTATGAAATCTGTGCAAACTGGGCTTTTGAGTGGCCAAGTTTGAGTTGCGATTTTTTGGTCATAGTTGTCGACTATCAAAAGATTGTCTACATGCAAAGGAATTTAACCAAAAATCCATACAGCCACTAGTGGCTACGATTGGAGGGCGTGTCTTTGAGTCACTAATGACCACTAAACACGATCATTGGGGGTTTCTCTTGGCCATTTTTTTGAAGATTGCATTAAAACTAATTCGACTATAGTACCATTCGGATGCTGAAGTCTATCAGAATGTGGTGTCGAATTCTAATGGTGTTTCGTTAGCTGGTCGCCACTCGTGCCTGTGTCATTCGGGCGGTGTATTAGTGTCGGCGGATGGTTCGTCGTCACTGTCCTGTTCCAGTATAGCCGCGAAAGAGAACGGCACGAATGCGTACCCATGGCCTTCGTAGAATTTGCTCATAAATTCCACCCTGTAGAGTAGCATATAGTTACCATTGCGACCTTAAGATTCAATTGAAATATGAATAATATTGTCGAAAATATTATTTAGCGGCGTAAATATGAATAATATTGTCGAAAATATTATTTATCGGCGTAGTTTAACTTATTCTCAAGATTCTTTAATGACGATACGATAATATACTACCGATATTTAAAAATTAATAGATATACATAAATATACAACATCACATACATTGCTCAGATTCCAAGATGAGTAGGTAAAGCGTTCATATTATGAAGTACGAAGCACCACGAAGGCACTACTACACCTAAAATTCAGACAATATAGAAAAGAAAAGAAATCGAACCCGGGATCTCAATTCAAACATAAGTTAATAAGGCACAATTCGTACTTCTATTGGTTAGGATAGAGTAATTTTCTAAAACCCTAAACAATCACCTAAACTTTGGTTTAATATCTATTATAAATGTCATATATATTTACCAGTGTAGACGCAGCGTGTGTAGGAACGCTGAGAGGCCCTCCATCAAAACCAATATAGCGAGTGTAAAGAATGCCCAAACCGCGAATATGACGAATAAAGCTATTGCCATCACTGGGCTGTTGCCAATGCCCATGCGCAACACTCGCTGCCATAGCACCGCTGACAGCTCTAATTGAAAACAGAACAAATTAAACATTACACCGGTAGATAGTTATATAATCTACAGTTTGTATATCATCAAAATCTAGCAAATGAAAGCCAACCTATAAACTTCCATTATTAAAGAAAATCAACGTATTATAAATGAGGATTTAATTACTTACGGGCATGCGCGAGAGATAGTGCCCACAAGCGCAAATATGAAGCAGTGTGGGATACTGTGCCTAGCACGTACTCTATGGTATGTATGGCTTGCGTAATCATCAGCTCCCCCATACTGTCACCATCCTCCTTGTCGGTAGTCTCTTCACCACTCTCGACACCTTGCTGATATTGCTGGAAAATGAGTTGAATTTACATAATTATATGTTGTTTCCTATCCAGTCATGAGACGAATCACTAGAATTAATTACGAGAAGTCAACTTAAAACTTACTTTTATTATAATTGGTAAACCTAATAGTTAAAACAACAACGCTACAACAATACATAAAACAACAGTAAACAGAAGTGACAGTTACTTATGTAATGAGATACACATTATTTTCTTACACAATGATTTATAAGTGCATTATTTGATGACTAATTATGATGAAGGAACAATAACACCTCTCTTTTTGCATCTGGCGCTAAAAACGATAATCAAACATCTAATCGTTCAAATGCCTAACTAACGATGAAACAGAAACACATCAAATTTTTATAACCAATTTGCCATCTTACCTGGTTGGCTAACATTTGATTTTAATGTTTTAATTTTTAATATAACTACAATTCTTTGGACGCGACAGTACTAGTGGTTACAGTATCTTAGAATTTTTGCATTAGAAAATGATTCAATAAACACTATAGATATTAATCACAAGTATCTCTCGGCATATTTGGGTTACTCGGTCCTCTTACATTAAGAAAGAAAATTATTTATTCAGTGACCATAATATATATGGTATACATTCTGGAAGAAAAGAACATGTATGATCCTTCGTCCTTCCGATCCTTCCGATTAGCTATTAGATTGCCCTGGGATGCGACACGTTTGTTGAAAAGAAAGAGACAGAAAAAGGTAAAGCAAAATGCTAAAGGATAAGCGAGCATACATATAGGTAATTATAATTAGTTTCTTACCTTACGTTTCCTGGCACTTAAAATTTTGTAGACTGGTTTCCCGAAAAGCATGATCGGCACGCACATATATGCAAAAACCAGGAACGTCCACTGTAGAGCATCTTGGCCATCGTACATGTTAGCTTTGCAGGGAGGTTTGATAACCGACTCCTTCAGCAACATCATGTTTATAAAGATTATTAGTACTGAAGGTGCACATGATGTCCCATATTTAACATCTGGTGGAAATCAGAAGGAAGACCTTAATATAACATGTATAAATGATCGGAATCTGAATTTAAAGTGTAAAATTTTCGAGAGGAAAACTCAGCTAGCTGCTTTTTACCAAGTTGATTAAAAAAATGGTTTTTATTTCTCCTTTATGTTTTGTTTTGATTTGTGGGTCAATAAATGTTCTTTCATACCTTCAGATGTGGCCGAATACATGGTCCACTTCATGAACATCAATATGCACAAGTACCAAAAGAGTAATAACAGAAACAGAATTTGGGGTATGTATTGCAGGTAAATCATCTCCGGTCTTCTGAAGAAGCTGCAAAAAGTTATATTTACCTGTGAGTCTGCTTTATCATGGCAGTTAATTATGAATTCATTTTAAAAAGCACTTAAATACTATCACTGTTTGATAAATTTGTAGCAAATGCCATAGAGTATCTACAATAGCTTAGCTAATTTAGCACTAAAGTAAAAATAACGTTTAATTAAAGTAATCCAGAAATATTTTTAGAAGTCTATTTAAAATATCAATTGGATCTAGATTGGTTGTCACTGAACTTTTAATTATTGATAGTTTCAATATCTCAGTAGATTTTAATCATTCGAATTTCACTGTTTACAGTAATTTTAGCTATTAATACAACGGAATAATAAATCAATTAATTATGATTGAAATGCGTAATAAATAATATTAACCTACAATTCATTATCAGAACAAATACGAGTATATATATTTAAAACTAAATATCAAACAGTAGAAAAAAAATGCCCATAACAGCTAGTTCTATGAATACTTATAATTACTTGAAGTTTACCACACTCAATGTCACACCGAACGCCATGTGTATCACTCCAAATATAATCGAGAGCTTCATTTTGAACGAATTTAGGAATATAATGTTGTTTGCTGCAAACTGAAAAATTAGGATATTTTTTTATGCGTCTGCGGATAAGGTTGATAATTTTATTTTAAATATACATAAGTAAGGTTGAGGTCAGAAAGTATGTGGTAAAAAATAATAGAAATTGTGATATAAGTTATTCTGTAGCTTCCTGTAAAATGAGACGTTTCTTTGTAATTAACGTACCTGCCAAGCCGGATCCAACCCAAAAGGGTAAGGTGTCTGAGTATACGCCTCAGTGGCAGGATCCAAATCAAGAAAACTATGACTAGTTAAGGTTTCGTTATCATAATTGTTTCTCCAACTGCTTCCAAATATATTTATCGACTTTGAGAATACATCGTTGTATATCAGGCCGGTGTAAACCGAAAATATACCCATAAGGAGTATGATATAGCGGCCTCCGAAGAAAATGTTCCAAATTTCGTTGTCAGACTTTTGTTTCATGAATCTCTTTTCAAAGATTACAAGGATGGAGGCGAAGGCAGTCATGATGAGACCGTGGCCAACATCACCAAACATCACAGCAAATAGAAATGGGAATGTAATGATCGTATACAAAGCTGAAATTTAAAAATAAATACCTATTAGAAAGCTAGAAGTTATAATATGTACGGTGTTAAAAAGAATATTTTTTCAAAGTATATTAATAAATTTTTAGTCCATTATGTGTATGGTATTTAAATTTAGAGAAATATATTTTTAAGTACTGAGAAGCCATAAAAACAATCAGAGAAGACTCATTGACTGCTTAGTAGAAGAAACCAAATCAATTCTAATTGTAGAGTGTTTTATAATAATTGATACAAAACTAGTTAAAAAGCTGAATATGTTCTTGTTTCTTATATCTTCACGCGCACTACTTATTAAATAAAACTATTTTGAAACATTTCATTTTTCAGACGTAATGGATCTTTTACATATTCTGTAGATTAAGATGTTTCCGTATTCTGTAGACTAAGATATTGGTTAAGTATGTAAGGTGTTTTTAAAAGATGATGTCGGAAAATGATATCATTCTACAAAAAAAGGCCCTAAAACCGTCTAAAAATATTTTTATTCAATAAATATGTATGGTTAAAGGTAAAAAAGCAGTACCTGGATTAACTTCTCTATAACTGGCGATTCCATAGGAATCAATAAGGTTTTGGAAGCCCTTGGTGAATTTGTTAGTCCTATTGAATGTAGGTGGCGTTTCTCTGGTCGGTACCTGATGCAGGATCGACGGGATCGGACTGCCACTTGCTTTCTATAGGAAACACATATTTCTGATATACTACAAGTTCTTATAATATGTTTTTTTTTAATTCATTATATTATTATTCTTATATTTCATTATAAAAATACTTTTCTTTTTTGTAAAGTTTATTAATTAATGTTCAGTTTTGTCAATCTTTTTAAATTCAATTTACTGTTGTTTGTTCTGTGCTATTTTCTGTAATATAAAATTTACCGCCTCTGCCATCAGTAAAAAGTTATACGGAATTTAGTAATCTTAATAATAATATCAAACTCACCACTCCATCATCTAAAGCCTTCTGTAATATATGCAGATCACTCTTGGGCACCCAACATTCTGCAATGAGGCATTTTTTCACAATGTCCATACTGAACATGTTCATTGTGTGATATATCGCCTTCTCTTTCTTTACAACCATCATCCACGTACTTATATCTCTTGCTATGTTTGCAAGAACCAGTCGTCTATGTTGCTCTGTTTGTTCCAAAACCTGCAAATGTATTATTTCGTCATAGCAAATGGTAGTTCTGTTATAAATTTTAATGTAATGGAATTTTGATCTAAATTTCTTAAGATATTTAAACGACCTAACAAACGAAGACTCAATTCACTTATTGACAACATCAACATGATGAATAATATATCTATAACCGTTTAAAAGAGTTTTCTACGCATAAAACATATATATTTAACATGCTCTTCTTCTTCTTTTTTTTTATTAACGGCTTATCTCTATTTACTTGTTTGTTTGGGTCAAATCTAGTAATTGAAATTTGATACCCATTCTGTTGACAGATTGATCTGAAATTTGGTACTCTTCATTAGTTCTGGTAACAATAAAATTAAATAATTATTGTAAATCCAAAATGACCGTTACTATAAGGTGGCGGTTTACAAATTTAGACACGACTATATATGGGTATCAAATGAAAGGGTTTGAAAAGTAAAACACAGTTCACTTAAAAAAATTAAAATCCAAGATGGCCGTCAAAAAATAGCCGATTACATATGTTTTCACAACCCCGTCAATATGAGTAGTAATGAAAGGGTTTGACTAGTAGAATAAAGTTCACAATGAATGTTAAAATCCAAGAAAACATTTAAATTAAGTATATAATGTACTAGCATAATTTATCAATAGCATCTATAGTAGTTCATTGATGACAAGGTTTGATAAGCATGGGCAGCTTTTTGGTGGTAATGTAAAAGTCGTACTGAGCGATAACGTTCATCCAGCACGATCGGTCGCTTAGACGGGACAGGAACATCCGCATTCTCGGTACATTCTCGCAGGCGAACAATTCCTTCATCATCAAGATAGTCTCCAAATATGGCTATACTCGTCTATTGGGGAAAGTTTTACAAGCGCTTGGTATTCCGCTGCAAAGGACTTTTTCTTTTGAAGTATGCTCAGCTCTGCTTTTGAAATATTAGCCGCATTCAATGGCTTCAGTAATGAGGTGGAAAGAACGAATGAAGGTTAGTGATAACCTTACCATTACCGATAACTGACGATCTAAACAAGAAACCAAACAAGTGTTCAATTTTTCATTTTAGGATTGTACTGATTATTTTAATAAAATGATGCACGCGGTCGCATTCCTCAAATTCTTTATAAATGAATAAAAAAACAGTTTTATAACTATAAAACGAGGTTGGTCCAGTTGCCAATCCTTAATAGAGTAAATAATGAAATTAAAAACTTGGGCCCATGTTTCCATCCAGTCCACTCAGTTTACGCTACACCCAACGATTTTATTTGTATGTTAGATCAATGCTTTTAATTGATCAGGGTGAGGGGTGTGATGTGATGACTCGTACCAGGGACCTACCGAATTATTTTTTTAACTTTATGTACATTATAGTCAATAAAACCGCTTAAATTTAAAAACAAAAATTAATTTTTCATTAACACAATTCTTGTGATTATATCAAAGGATAAGAAGAATATCTGTCACTATTGATTTATCAACACGACATTGTATTAATAATATTGGGCCCTAAGTAGATAACAATCGACGAACAACGCCATTGAAATGCTAATATAACTAGCATGACACAAGATGATCCATATATGATCCGTATAAACCATTTATATGGACTTTGAATCAAGTGAAAACATTTTTATTAAGTATATAATGCACTAGCATAATTTATCAATAGAATCTATAGTCTTAATGAAAAATGCTTACAAATCCACTATGTCCTTGATACTTTCAGATGTGACCCAGGGAGTGCCAAAATTAATCAAATATAATAACAACATTTATATTAATCTACTGAATATTTATTACATAGTTTCAAGTATCTAAAGTAAGCCCACTTGGTCTAACCTATGATATTGCAGCAAAATAATATTTTACCATTTCCAAGTCTTGGATCCTGGTTGCTACACCACCAAGCATGTCCTGCTGCTCCTTGAAGGTGGCGGGGCATGGGTACAACGTCGCTTGGAATCCGTGGCAGACTTTTTTGACGCGAAGTTTTATTTGCTCACCGTGGAAGAATACCACAAATACAGTCTTCAAGAGATCGTGACCCTGAGATAAGTAAAGAAAAATATATGCTTAAAATATTGGACAGAATTTTGCTAGCCATTAATAAAGTCAATATTGGACAACATTACAAACGTTGCTAAGTTCCCTAGGAAGGATAAGCCTTGTATTATGCTAATCTCAATCAAATAAATTGCTACAATAAGATTAGTGGCGTAAAAAAGAGTTGCTAGATGGACAAAATATATAAGTACATACACTTTTGGTTTAGACGTTAATATAGAATTTAATTTTCTTTATTGGACGGGTAAGATAATTGTCCAAAGTGTCTAACAGAATGTGCATGTGCTATTTTATGATTTAGATTTAATCAAATAAAATTGACTTCAAAAGTTTTATTTTAATAAAACTCTAATATTGTAACAACTTCATTGCGACACTGAATTTTCACAGTATTATGCGACGCATCTTCGGTCACACACAAACCATATATAGAACTTTCTATATACTCTGAGTACGTAATTATGTTTTTCCAAGTATGTTTTCTCGTCATATGAAAATTATATTATTTGTGAATGAAAAAGTTTTCATAGTATTGAATATAAACGAAATTCTGATGCATATTAAATACGATTAATAAGATTGTGTTTGACGTTCTTTCGAATAGTCTAGCATAATATAAGCGTAGTCTACAAAGATTTCGAATGGTTAACGAGTAGGAAAATCAATATAAAAGTAGGGTTAATGTCCGCCCACGGGCTGTCCTAACAACACTCTAATGGTGGTAAGGTATATACCAGTCATTAGTACGACAACACGATACTGATATAGTTTTAAACACACGCTTTGATTTGGTTGAAGATCTCAATCAGTTCTAGAAAATCACCCACTACACAGAAAATGTATTAATTTTTCAAAGTAAATACATTTATGTTTTCGTATAATAACCTATTTCAATTTAGTAATATCAAAATAAAAAAAAATAATAAAGAAAAGGTGGTGGCATAATAATAGGACAATTACCTTACTGCCTTCAAAAAACATTGTCAGTTATTTGTATGAATATTATAGAAAGTGCGGGATTAGCCACGTCGCAAAAGGCCACGCTTTTGGGGCCCCAGGCAATTGGGAGCCTGGATTGACCAATAAATAAATTTTTCCGTCAGTGTTTCAAAATAGGCATAGAAATAAAATAGGCCACGCTTCTGCCTAAACTCATATTTTTAAATATAAACAAAACTTATAAAAAACTAAAGTAAAAAATTAGATGTGTTATGTTATTCGGAGAGCAAAGGAAGACTTTTCTGTTTCGTTTGCAAAGTTACCGATTCCGATTGGTGATTGGGAGAATGCCCACATTTTTTAAAACCATAAACCACAACATGGTACGATAAACTCCAAAAACAAAAAGGCACGTGTTGATACTCACATTATAAGGCAAATTCTCAACAGTTGGCTTTACTTTTACGAAAAAATGATACAAATAAAGAAAAGTGTGTTTGTAAAAATTTTGTTTTATTTCAATCATACACTTCATTAATCCCAAGCAAACAAAATGGTTGGCCAAAAATTTGCTACAGACCTCGCTCTGGCTCTCTCTGATTATAAAGAGGTCAGATTTGATTATTTGTTTGCATTGAATAGGCTCCAAAACTATTAGACCGATTTCAAAATGACATACAGCTATGCTGTAATCTAAGTAGGTGAAGGAAGATGCAGGAAAACAATGCATCTTGGAACAATGGTTGACCAAAATGTATCGATTTAGTAAGAATCCTATTTGGCTGGTATATCAAAACTTTAAAAAATGTATTAAAATATTTAAAAAAGTTAGGTATGCTTTTGTAAAGACAAATTTACAATATGTATTGAATTTTAAAGGTCTTAGTAAGCAGACTGATGTATAATACTGCAGCCACGCCTGAGTTTTCCTTTAGTACTGGCTTGCGGGTATGAAATTTTCCGTAATTCGTCGTGCAATGAGTAACTAAAAATATATCAATGCTTAATATTCCGCTAAATGACATTGACTTTACCTACATTGTCAGGTAAAGTTATTTCGAATCATTGTACAATGACTGTACAAAGTCTTTACTTCCATAGAGGTTGTTAGCATCCTAGATTGAATACAATGACTGACTAAAATTACAAGCATATTATACCTATAATAGTCACTGTTATATTAACTAATAAATTGTCAAAGTAACTATTAACGATATGGTAAATAATGTTTAGGTTTATAATTATAATAAAGTGACCAGTCTCAATAATAAAATATATATATGTCGCATCATCTTTACGAAGATCGTTTGATTTAGTTTCTTTTATTTTAATTGCTCGCTACTCGATTACTTAATTACTCGATTGTAGAGAGAGCGTGATCATCGATACTTTTAATCATATTAGAATGGTGACACTGACTTTGACAGTTCATTAACAAAAAGCAAGTTGCCGCCATTTTTGGCACACATTCTGTTTCCGATCGCCGAGGAGTAAAGATATCCGACGACATCATGCTCATCTCGTTATATTTTCGTATGAAAGTGATAAAATGGAAAAAATCCACGTTGGTATATGATAAAGATAGTCCTCCGATAGAGACGATCTATTTGGGCTTCGTAATAGCCCCTTCTGACTTATATATATATATATATACATACAATTTTCGAGTCTATCAGGCGTCTCATGGAAGTACGCGACAAAATTTTCGTCAAGTATGGTAGTTTTAACGTTTCGCGTTCGTTAAGACTCGACACATAATTTACCTCAGATGTTCATTATCAGTGTTATTAATAAACAAGGTTTATCGTTGGAGTAAATTTACGCTGAGACTGCACTTAGTATTAGTCAAAATTCATATTATTAAACAGAGACTTGGCAAAGGTTAACCTAGTACGAGGTTTTACAGGAGTAATATCTAAAAACAACTCCTAAAAGGTGCTACCATTTCTCTGCATAATATGAATTTAGACTAATACTAACATTGAAATTTTAGCGTAAATTTACTTTGACGCTAAATAAATAGCACTGTAAAGTATAATTTATTTTTCTTGTATCAGCATTGCAACATCACTTAAATAATTATGAAAACTATTACATAAAATAATTATGAAATATGTGTCTTGAATTCATACAATACCTCTTTATTGTAATAAAATTTTACGTTTATTTTTTATTAAGAATATGTCTATAATTTAGCTATAGATAAAGTATTAACTAAAATAAAGTATTTAAATACTTCGTTAAAATAACAAACAAGTTGATTAATTAAAACAAAAAGACTAATTACACAGATCGATATTGAATGATATGTGTTATAAATATACAATAATATCAGTGATTACATAATAATAAACATCATTGAATATATTGTTTCTCAGTTAAATAGCATTTAAAGATCCTTAGCAACTAAACTATTAACACAGGCCTACGTCAATATAGACGAGTAACTAAATCAATTGAATAACGAAGACAAAACCAATACGGATGGCGCTTTTGGCCATGAACGAAACTTTATAGTAAATTTTTTAGGCGTGTCCCATTTGGACTAGTAAAAATACGTCAACACAAGTGACATGGAACACACACGCGTGGAAATAATTCGGCTTAGTAATGCCCTCACGTTGAAGTTCACCAAACGAGAAAGGTCAGCGCGGGAAGTGATAGCTCCACTAGCACTATGATAATATTTATTTTAATACTTAAATGTTCGCTTAAGATTATATTTGTCTATGCGTGTTTGGTACAGTCGAAAAATACACGTTCAAGATTTAAAACTTTAGTGTGGTAGAACTAAATTCAAAATCAATTGCGTAGATTTGTCATTGCGTCTTAGTGTACGCAATACGTTGTGCTTTTTGTACAAATGTTTTCGAATTACATCATCTCATTAGTTATTAGCATTCTAAAGACTTAAACAAATGACTTGTATAAAATATGATTGCGTAAAGAATAAATACATGTATTTCAAATCCCAGTACAAATTCTATATCCCACCTAATATAATTAAGTTTTAGGTAAACGATTAAAATTACTTTATTGTTTATTTGCAAGCCCATCCCATCTTCCCATCACAGGCATCTTTGTTTTAAGTATTTTCGTATAAGCAATGCCTTAAGTTTTTGCAGATATTAGGTTAAAATTAATGAAGAAGAGAAATAGGTTTTTTTTTAATACTTACCGTCACAGGGTCTTTAAGAGGTCGATCAATTTGAGCTTGTTTGAAGAATATATTTCCATGGGATATCCTCCACAACATTTTCTCAAATGAAGGCACCCTGGCAGTAGTTACTACCCCAGCAATAAAACCGAGGTGGCCCAATGCTTCGTTGTTATATATCTGCACCGATGCTGATATCTTCCTGTGAGCGCTGTGGTCTTGGAAGAATGTTTGCGTCTTTTCTATTAGAATCCTCAATTCAATCAACGAAAGGTAATCTGTCTTTAAATTCTGTGCGTTTTTCGTTATCTCCTGAATTTCCGATTCTATGTAGTCAATTCTTTCCTGAAAGAGAGAAACGATAAAAGCTCTGAATAAGTTTAAACTCTTTTTAGGTGGATTTAATTACATGTCAAAACTTTTTGTACTGTTATCAAACATTTTAATATTGTTAGCAGTCTCTAATATTGCAATTCGTTAATCTGTGTTTTGGTACCAAAACTTTCGGTGAAATAGAATGAGTATATTTAAACAAACACACAAAAAATTAATTGAAATCATTCTTGTAACTGGAGTCAATTATTGTCTTACATCACAGATCATTATAATCGAAAGATGCCAACAATGACATCTTATACGACGAGTATATAAAGCGATTGAATAAATCGTCGATATTTATATAAAATTCAACTTTATGAAGCAAAAGGTTTTTTTTAAATAATATATACGATTACTATGGTCAACTATATAATGGGATTCTCTTTCCTAGTATGTAACAACAATAAAAGAGATGGGTGCACAATTGCACTTATTAATATGATAGAAAATAAAATATCAAACTTTAATATGATTGCTACTTTGTTAATTGATTATTTGAAAATTTATTTAACATTTGCGTTTAAACTAATTTTGGTAATGGTTAAAATTTTGAAAAATTATATTATAGTATAATTATTAATGAAAGTTAAGTACTAGGATAGCATCATTTTCTCACCTCTAATATATTGATTTCCCTCGGACTAAGTGTCCGGGGGCCTGGCTTAGGCGGCGGTGGTGGTTCCGGCAACTCCCCACTGACCCATCGAAGCTTTCTCTCCATTTCACTGCATCTCCTCACTTCACTGACGTACCGCCTTTGGAAGTCGTTAACATGAGGATTTAGCTGTAAAACAAGCCAAATTTCATTTCATTAAAAAGTATTTTTAATAATCTATGGGCATTCGTGGTGATAAGAAACAATGACGTAACAGTTGTGAATTGTTCGCTGTTGTCCAATGTCCATTTGAATGCTGGCAAAATGTCGCTGTTTTGAACAATAAATTCAATTGAGTCGACATGGCGACAGTAAATAAAAATATACAGGATGCGCTCATTGAAACTGATGTAGAATAGTAATTAAATTATTTGTGCTAATTAGTGGTAAACGGTATTTGATACACAAGATTACATAATATCACTTTAATTTATCAATAGTAGGAAATATGTGTACCGTTTTTAACTCTACAATGACAAATATATTAAAAATACCGAACACTATCAATATCTGTTTGACCACACCTTGGCCCAAAAATAGGACTAATTCATGTTATATGTTTACCTCCTCCTGTTTTATGAGCTATAGCATTTAATTTGGTCCATTGTATGTCAATGAATGGTAACTTATTGACTGTATTTCAGGCATGATGTATTTTCTGATTAAATCGCTTTGGTTTTGTTTATTGATTATGTTTTAGACTAATCAATTAATGATGCCCGCGAGAAGCAAAGAAATCTATAGCGCAGTGGTAAGTGTATCCGGTATGCGATATGGTTGTTGTTAACTTTCATAAGGATGGGTCATAGGATGGGTGACCAAAAATTATTATCTCCAGCTCCACCGTGCTTCGAGGCAGGCTTATGCTCCAGCAATGAAGACGTTGGTTGGTAAGCTAATGATGACGATATAAATATCATCATCATCATCATCATCATCAGCCGGAAGACGTCCACTGCTGAACATAGGCCTTCCCTTTTGAACGCCACGACGGACGTCATTGCGCCAGCTGCATCCAGCGGCCGCCCGCGACTCGGACGATGTCGTCCGTCCATCTAGTCGGGGGTCTAGATATAAATATGCTCACTGGCAAATGTTTAATCGAGATAAGCTTAAGACTTGAGTATAGCAAATCACAAAGCGTGAACACAGCACCCTGGACCACGTGGGCGAAGCCGAGGATTACAGCTAGTCGTATATAAGTTACTCAAGTATGCTATAAAATCATTGAAACTGAGAAACATATTACAAGTTTCGCTATATAAAAATACATATAATTGAATATAGAAATATGAAAAGAATATTAAAAATCGTCGAATTTTAATTGATATTTGTTTAGACAGGACAAAGTACAAAGACGAAGCACTCAGTAATAAACAAATCAATGACAGTATTAAACGCACGTGATCATCATATGGGTTACGCACAATATATCATTGTGTGAAGTAATGTGCTATAAAAAGTCCAGTAAGCCATTATAGCCATTTCAGAACTCGTGATGGAGGCGTTGTGTGGGATGCTAGCTCAGTGTCGGTTCAATTAGTACAATAGCACTAGAGTCAAGCAAATGATTGATGGTGCGTAAATATATGTTGAGCTTGGTAACAGGCGTAGTGTCCCGAAAGTTATCAAATAAGTGTTAGCTCCGGAAACAAACAATACGATGAAACTTAACAGATCCGATGACGTAGACGCAGATCGTAGAAAAGCAGCGAAAATATACCATGCAATAAATCATGTACCATGTTTCATATAAATCTCATGCACTGGGTACGTGACCGGCTGTTAAGGGCAACCAGTAACCATACTCTTCGTATGGGTAGGGATCAATAATATGGGTGACCAAAAATTTAATATCTCGAGGTCTTTTGTGCTTTCGAAGGAACGTATGTCGTTAGTCTAGTCTGTACTGGGTTCACGTGGTTAGCTTGTTCTCCTATGTGTCTTAACTATAGGGAAGGCATGTGGGAATATGTGGGCACTGTTGGAGCCAACAGTAAGAATATTAATAGCCTGTTGATTATTAAACTGTTATGAGGATATTTGATTTCATACTGGGAACTTATTAGTGTTTTAATAAATCTTTTATTAAGAACAAGTTTGTACTAAGTGGACTTATTTATTTCGGTAGGCGCAGTAAGCGTAACTAAAGATGAATATTTTTATGCAAAACGGAGACATACTTAGAAACAAGTTAACATCATATCGCTACAAAAAATGGAATACCTATTGTTTTCGCCGAGTTTCGTGCTGGTTCTTTTCAGTATAATTTCATCCTCTGCCATTGATATATTTGCAACTGTATTAAGTTTTTTGATTTTATCAATACTTCTTATTGTTAATAACTGAGACCTTATAGCAAAACGTTAATAAATCCTCTCCTGGCTTATATAATTTTTTATTTATGAGGCTTTAGTATATTAACCCTCGGTTTCAATAACCAAATAACTATCCGTTTTTGCTACCATCCGTAGCATTTCCTACCGATGGTAGCAAAAAAGTGTTTCAATAACATACCATTGGTAGGTAAAGCTACCGACGATGTGCTACTAACGGATTGATCTGATACTGATAACCGTTCGTAGGCAAAATGTATGAAAATGGCGCAAAAAGATGTTTAATTAAAAAATCTATCCGTCGGTGGAGCTGTCAAACTTGCTATCCGTAGCTTATCTGTCAAATTTGCCTACCGGCCATTTTCCGGCGGTTATCGTAAAAATATTTATAAATGACACGTTTTCCCTTGTTAATTAATAGAAAAATGACAGTTTTTCATTAAAAAATTAATATTGTAGAAGAGTTAAATGTGCTTTGTGGTTCCAATTAGAAGAATTTAAGTTGTAATCATGACAATGTTTGTACCTTTAAGGGCTCATACTACCAATTAATCATTGCTCCAGATGCTTTCTACAATATGTTTTTGTTGAAAAACTTTATGATTTTCCTCTATATAATTATGAAAAACCTTGTTCTGATGAAACTGAATTTGCCACCTACTGTACAAGTATTTTATCCGATATTGATTCACAATTCATAGTACTTAAAATTGAAAAAAGTAATGAAATTCCTATAGACTAATGTTAACAAATCTTACATTTTTATGACATGATTGACAAACATTGACATGATTACAACTTAATTTCTTCTAATTGGAACCACAAAACAAATTAAGCTCTTCTACAATATCATTTTTTTAATAAAAAACTGTTACTTTTCTTTTAATTAACAACGGAAAACGTGTTATTTATAAATATTTTTATGATAAATCGTACTAAATAAAAAAAGTTTAATTCAATGAGTCAAATGTTCCGAAACGCTGTTTCTTGCCTGCAGCATAAAATATTTCTATCCCATTTTTATCTAAAAAAATGGATTTTTAGTACAAGTAGAAAAATTACTAAAAACTTTTAAAGAGATAAATCTAAACTATTTTTTGTAATGGTAACTCTTTTGTTTACATCAGAATAATTTGTTTCACAGTTACACCACTTTTAGGAACCTAACCATACAATAAATAAGTCATAAAAGTTCCAAAACAAATTTCCTTCTTCCTTCTTACGATTTCGATTTAGTCCAAGAAATTAATAAATGTTAAAGACCAACATTTCAGTATAATTTTAAAAAATGAGCTACCGACAACCGTTCGTAGTTGGTAGGTGCCTACCGATGATTGTGAAACGCAAAAACGAATGGTTGCCGGTAGCTCAAAAAACGGTCGGTAGCTACCGATGGTTGTCGGTATATTATTGAAACAGGGGGTTAGTAGTTATAGTTTACACATACACATCCAAATATTATTATCATGAGAATATGATATTGCATGACCAAGCCTCTCTTGTGTACACACAGGAACTTTACCTTGATTGATATTAACCCTTCTGGAATATTAAAATATTAAATGCTTGCCTTTCATTTTGAATATGCGATGAATATTCCGTTTAATTTGATTGGGTTTGATTGGATGATATTCGGTCAGTTGCACAAACTTCCATTAAAAATATCATTAGTTTAAAGCGACATTACCAATACAAATTTGACATTCATTAGTCCTTCGCTTATATTAATTTATTTATCTAGACTGGTAAATAAAAGCGAACTTTTAAATAAATAGGAGCAGGTTGTCAGTTAAACGGTGATTTATATTTATTACCTGACTGCGTTTAAGCTAAAGTAGGACTTTACCAGGGTAGGTACATATCTATATTCGAGATCACATATCTCACATAATATCTATTTGAAGGGAGTTATTGTAATAAAAGCCTTGATTGTCCGTCCGACACATACTTAATTTAAAAATATTCTTAAAATGTATGAAATGATGCCAGCGTCTGATTAATACAGAAAAAGGTTTTAACTACAAATATTCGTTTTACTATTCGACTATGAAATATCGAAACTGTCTGTGAAATGGGGGTTGGGACTGAAATTGAGATACGATTCCCACCAATTGCCAGTATCCGCCCGGCGGCAATGTCTTCTGCAATCCGAGCGCATGGACTTCAAGTATAAATTTTCTTTAGCACATTGACAAATAGGCTCCGACGCGTTATGACGCCTCTCGGTTTTGGAGATTATAATTAGAAGACTAAATATATTTAATTGACTCACAAAGATAGAATAACATTCAAGACAAATGTCAGGAAATGATAAATATAAGTGCAAAGTTCAAGGACGAATGGATTTCGCACGGAATTTTGATAGTAAACAGAATTACTCTTTAATTAGTAGGTCTTTTACGACGTATTTTATTGGAATATCTAGTTATACTGGAATCATATGTATTTCAAATAAACCTTATAAATCAAACCTTATTAATAGCAAAAATGTTTCTTGAATAGTGTTATGGGATTGCAAAGTGAATTCTACGACTAAAGTTTTTTTTAATCAAGTAATAAAACCTCAAATGCTTTTTCTTTTAAATAAATAGAAATTTTTTTAACAAACTCATTAGTCCCAGTTCCGTCTTGGGCACCTGGGACTAATGAGTTTGTTAATAATTTTTCTTTATAATAAATATTCATATAGCGATGTAAATGTAAAATAAATCTAATATAATAAAAAACTGTTAAAAAGGGTTTTAAGTTAATAAACATTGCCATAAACATAAACACAAATATGTCCTATTTGAT